CTTTGTTATGTGTAGTAAGGTTTATGAATTTCTTAAATTCCAAGTTTGGGAATTCACTTTAGCGTTCGTGTATCTTTAAGCTTGTTTGGACCAGTGCAAGATGTGAGGATCCCCTACCAGCAAAAACGAATGTTTGGTTTTGTTACTTTTGTCCATCCGGAGACTGTGAAGCTCATTTTGTCTAGAGGAAATCCCCATTTCATAGTGATTCACGTGTGCTTGTTAAACCATACAAGGAAAAAGGAAAAGTTCCTGAGAAGTATGACATCTTCTCTTGTTTCTTTTTCTATCTTAAAATTTGTCCTTCCTGTGTGTTGATTTTGTAACTGTTAATGGAACAATTGCAGGAGGCAACACCTGCAGCAACAATTTGAGAGGGGGGAATTTTCTCCTTGTTCAAGCCCTTCTGGGCTTGATTCTAGAGAGCCATATAACCTCCATGCTGGTAAGAAAACAAACAATCAGGGCTCTTTGTGGGGTCTTTTGCATTAATGATACATGCGAAAACAAAATGCTTAAAATGCGTTTTCTCTTTCTTTTTTTTATTTTGGGGTTCTCAATTTCTGTTTATTTACAGGGGCAAAGATGCTGTACAATGCACAGGAGATGATGTTGAGAAGAGAATTGGAAGAGCAAGCTGATCTCCAGCAAGCTATCGAACTGCAAAGGAGAAGGTTATGAACTTGCAACTTCCGGACTTCAAGAATGACGGTATTCATCATCACCAACGAAGCCTATCCATTGGTGCTTCTATTTCCTTGCCTGCATATTCTCATGCAGGTCAAAATGTTGATCCATCTGACAACATTAAACAAGAAGTCTTGGAAGGTTTGCTAAACCGCCTTAATTCTACGATCGTTATATTTGTTGGATTTGTGAATACTGTGCGGATATGTTTCTGTCCTCGTGTTCAAAAAGAAAATAAAATCAAAATCGATAGTGCAATGTGTTTCGATTTGTCAAATCAATGAATGGAAGATAAATAAATGCTGTAGTGAAATTTATATCTTTTCTAGTGGCAGTCAATGGTGATAATACAGCTGTTGTTTCCTCAATCGTCAATGCTTCTGAGGTGGAAGAAGTGGAATCAGCTCGTGTTCAAAAATGGACATGGAAATAGCCAAGAACATCCCAGTACCAAAGGGTATGATGTTGCTTTTACATGGAACTTAATTCTGACATTTAGATAAAATTTCGAACAAGTACAGATGCCATATTTTGTACTTTTTGTTGGAATTCTTCTAGGCTCTTCTAAAGTTGATTGTCATCCAGTTGTCTCTCTCATTTATTTAACCTACATTTCTTGAATATGCCATGAGAGCAGTGTTGAGCATGCACTTCCTGATAGCCCTTTTGCTTCCCCTAAGAAATCTACTGAAAATCACCTCACTGAGAATCCAGCTTTGATGGGATCAAAGGAAAGTTCTGCTACATGTGCTGCTTCATCTTCTGATGATCCATTACGGCCCATCACTTCCACTAGCAGCACAACCTCTGTTTAAATTATCGTCTGCTTAATGCCAAGGTACTATCATTGTCTTAACATTGTCGTAACTTGAAGTCTTCTGTCACAATTACCTGATTAAAAGGTATTTGTTCTCAGGTTTTGATGGGCATGAAAAGCTAATGAACCGTAGGTAATAAAGGTAAGCGTTCTTGGAATTCGGAAACAAGTTGTCAATAATTTATGAACTCATTCGAATCAAATGACATCCTTCTAATGTTTTGATATGATAATTTACAAGTGCAGAAAAGTAGAGAAGCATATACTAGAAGAAATCCCCTAGATGTGTATAGTCAGAATTCATATACCGAAGAGTAGATCTTAGAGAATATCTCAACAACATCATCGTCACCATCTTCTTCTTCAATACAACACACTAACAGAAAATGCATATTGGAACCGAGTTTGGAACGAGCTTAGGGCTTTTCGCTTTTCTCCTTTATTTTGTAGGTTTATGTATCCCAACAGACAAAATCAGAAAACCAAAGATAGTGAACTCACTGTGTCATCAAATCTATGCATCTTCTTTCACCTTATGTATTCCAACAGACATTGATGCCTGAAATGTGTAACATTTAACTTGAAACAGCAGTTACTTGGAAGTTAGTAAAATGTCTTGCCATTAGTTTTGGAACTTAAGAGGATGAGGGGGTTTGGTTATTTGGTACAAGTTTATATTCGATATGTTAAACTTTATCAGTAGTAGTTATGAATAATATATTTGTTTTCAGGTTTCTTGCTGCCATTAAAGTGAAGAATGTTGGGTATATCCATGGGAAAGCTGGTAAAAAAAGCTTCTCTATACTATAATACACACACACATGTATAATAATTGAAGCTCTCATCACATGGGGGGACTGACATTCTCATTACTACAAAATGAAGTCAGGGTGTCAGACAAGCATTTCTCGTCTTGTTTTTAATATGTATATCTAAATGTTTTAGATTTAATTCCTTCACACATTCTTAAATCTTTAATTTTCTTTTTTAATTCATTTCTGAAGTTTTAAATATTCTAATATTATTTTTAGATTATAATTTTTATTTGGGTAAAGTATATAAACAGTCCTCGAACTTTTAGGGCATTTGTATTTGGGTCACCCAACTTTTAAAACGTGCAATACAATCATCAAACTTTTAGTTCGTTTCAGTTAGATCCCTAACGTTACTTTCATTAGTTTTATTTGATCCCAACCTCTTCCATGATATCCCAAATTGTTTTCGGAATTCTTGAGCATGAGCCGAATTCGAGTCAACAAAATCCACCGAAAAAATGGTGTTCGATAGCAAATTGGCCTAAGTTAATGGCGTCTCCTTTAAGGCAAATTTTGTGAACATTTCTGATCAGTTCTTCGATCTTCACCCAACGTGGGTATTGATTGACGTCGAGAAAAAATAGATAGCATAGATTTTGCGAAGAGTTCTCCAAAGTGGCGAAACGGGCATAAGCGAGAGCCCGAATTCATTGAACTGACATACTCGGACAGCATCGACGATGGTTCTGTTACAGAAGACGAGGTCCTATTCTTTCAGGACTTCTTTCGTTGTTGTTTCCGATGAAACGACATGGTGAATAAGCTGTCGAGTTGGAGAGTCATAATGGGGCAGTGAACCTAAGCGAGCTTAGCCAAAGACCTGTAGGTTTATCGCCAAGGTCGAAGAGGTTGCAAAAAATTGGAAGTTGCCGCGGACTGGGTGAGAGCTTGGTTTCACTTTGTTTACTTCCGTTTCTAAATGAGCTTAAAGTTTGAAACACGAACATGGTGACTATCAACAAACATATCAATGAACTTGTTAAGAAATCTCTCTCTCACTCTGTACAACAATGGTGGAACTGAAGTCATAGTTTTAGAACCATGTGATTTGCCTAAGAAAACAAGAAGAAGAAGAAGGTTAACGGGAGTTAATTGTCACGTCAGATAAAACTAACGGAATGTAACGTCAGAGACTTAACTGAAAATGAACTAAAAGTTTGGTAACTTTATTGCAAGTTTTAAAAGTTAGGTGACCAAAATGTAAGCATCCTAAAAATTCGGAGACTATTTATATACTTTACCCTTTTTATTTTAACTTAATTTTTAAATTTTTGAACCTGCGTTTTAAAAATAAAATGAAATATAAACTTTATTTTAAACATTATTAATTTAAATTTAAATAAGATGATAAACTCATATATTTAGTTAAAAATAAATTTATTGATTTTTAAAATTTGACATCTTAGATAGTGAAATATATGATTCAAGGTCCACATTCAAAGATGTTGCTTTCCAATAACAAGTCATTTTCCACTCAATCATATTCTTAATGATTAAACCCTCACCTCATATTACTCGTTAGACACGTAATTGAGTTTTTTTTTTTGCATTAATTTCATATAATTATTCTAATTTATTTAAATTTACTTTTAAAAAAAAAAACAAGACTTAAAAAAAACAAAACCATGTGTTTTATTTGTTTTTATTTTACTTGTAAATTGTAATGTCCTCAAACCTAGAGTTGTACGGACTGCTGTAAGTAAAAAGTATCCCTTGTCTTGGAGTTAAAAATAATGTGTCTCCATAGTCCATACGTTGGTGAAGGCGAGTACAGGAGTTTATAAAATAAAATATTCGAGTATCTATTTAAAATTTTCTTAACTAATTAACAATGGATGCATATACATCCTGTAAAAGTAGCTACTCGAATTTATAATCTCAATAAAAACAACACTTCTTTTTACAACTGAATTCGTTCAATGAGTTCCTCTGTTATTTTAATTAGTCCACTCTTCAACAAAGCTTATGGTATCCTTTCCCTACTTTTTATTTCAGTTGCATGGGGGGCACATTATGTTCAAAGTAAGTTTGGTGTAGCTTACTTTATAGGGTGTAATCAAGACCCAAAGTGCAAGTATTATCACTCATACTCTAAACATACGCGGTGTTCGAACCTATGACTTTAAGGGATAACAACAAATTCTTAATCATTGAGTCGTTTGATGTGTCGATTTAAGAAATTAAAACAAAAATTTAGAGATGAGAAATTATAAATTTCCATGCGGGTGGAATTAACTCATCAATAATGAATACAAAAAATATCTAATCTATAGGTAGATTTAAATTTTTAAAAAAGTATGATGGCACACTAACTGCTGCTTCGGTCCATCCTCACGCACGATGAGGGTGAATAATATTAGTTAGGCGAAAAACTGCATTATAGGTAGGTAATTTTGATGATGGAAATTTTATAGGGCGGCGGCAGGTAAATTGAAATTGAATGAGTGAAGTTTGTCCGTGACTCTCCTTGAGTTTTCAGTTCACGGGCTGCTAACAAATCTCTTTCCTTGTGTTGAAACATTATTTCATTTAGGTCCAAATAAATTCCAAAGAAGGGTATACCATTTACAAGAAAGAACCAAAACAGAAACAGAAAAAGCAAAAAAGACCACCATGATTGATTGCTCCTTTTTCCATGATATCATCAGCATCATCATCACCATGGCTTGGAACACATGAAACCAAATGTTCTGATTCTTTCTGCAATGTAGTACTGGAGCAATAGGGCATGTGAGCAACAGGAAGACAATAGACTTTCACTACCAGGGGCTCAGCAAATCTCTGTCCCCAGAGATTCTTATGGCCTTTGATTTTGTTTCCATCAATGGAAATATGCCCTTTTTTTCTCTCTCATTTTCCATATAAACTCCCCTCCTTTGTCACAGTCTCGGCTTTACATATAAGTTCTTCCATTGTTGCATCAAGTGCATTTCACTGTAAAGTGTGACCACCAACTGCAGAAAAAGGTTAGCATTTTCCAGGATGGCATAGGAGTTTTATTTATCTTTTTTGTTTCATTCATCAAGCTTAAAACAAGATGTCTAAGGGTGGGTTTGAAGTAGTTTATAACCTGTTTGAGTAAATAAGATTCCCTGTGTCTAGCAACAACAGTAAAATGAATTTACTGTCATATAATTTTTTATTATTTCAGGAATCTGGAAAAACTCATGGAAGGCAGCAGAGGCAGCTCTTGTGAACCTCCAGCAGGTACCAAATTCAGATTTTTTTGTTAATTAAACTATATTAAACCTGTTTATACAGTTAATTAAAAGCTAAAAGCTTCAGGCAAGGCAGCAATATCAGAGTTGGAAACACTGCAGAAACAGTACGAGGAGAAACGAGTGAAGATCCAAGACCTCCATAAACAAATCGAAATCGCAAAGCTTCGATTGGAGGAGAAGAAGAAGAAGAAGGAGGAAATCCCAGATGAGAAAAAAGAAGCTTTCAATGAACTGTGCCAGAAATACAACAGTCTGAGAGAGGAATATATTGCACTGTCAAGGAGGCCATAAATTTTTCTTCACTGTATCGTTCTCTCTTTAAATACATTAGTTGGCAATGATTTTGCTATATCTATATATCATATTACTTCAATTTTCAACCATTTTTAATTATTTTCTATAACTAAGTTGTCAAATCTATTAATCGATTAATTTAAACCTTACACTACAAAAGTTCAATAAGGGGGCGAAGACAACCCTTCCGGTATAATTTGTTTCATTTGTAAACGCTAAGATTTAATTATGTTACTTTATTTAATGAATCTAATATTTTATTCCACTAAACCAATAGTATTAACACAAACCATCAAGGATTGACCATAGGGAGGGCGGGGAGGGGTCGTCATCCCTTGAAAATTTGAAAGTAACATATATTTAATATATTTTCTTTGTATATTTAATTGATATGTATTTTCTCCCTTATAATTTTATAAAATCCCTCCTTTCTATATTTTTTAAAATTCGCCCCTAAGGTAAGATCCTACTTTCGTCCCTACAAATCATATATTATAATCTATATGAAAATTCGAAGGTTTCAATTAGATTTAAATAAATAAACGACTCATCATTATTTATAGCTATTAGATTTAAATAAATAAATGACTTACTTAGATTTAATTAAAATTTATAATTGATAACTCCATAAAAAGACTATATTTTGTGCATTTCTACTTAAGTTATTGAGTGTCTAAAAGTCATTGTCATAACATTTAGTTGCATTTAGGTCATATTATTGCATGTGGTTGAAAATTTTTTGATGCAGTGTAATTTTATTGCTAAAATTGATGCTACTGAAGGGAAAACTTTTATGGTTGTGGTGTTGTGCAGGTGAAGAAAGTAAAGCAAAAGAAAAGATTTGTTGTGGCATTTTGGATAAAAAGATCTAAAGGACTATTGAGCTGATCGAGAAAAAATATTGCTGCAACATGTTTAGACAAAAATTCTAGGAGCAGAAAAGGACAAAATAATAAACATATCAAGTTGTCAGGCTGTCCAAGCCTCATGTGATTGCACTGTAATGATTATATTTTTGGGACCACCTATCAACCTACCTCATATTCATGTGAAGGGAATGAATCCTAGGTACAAAGAGAATTTTTGGGCCCAAAACTAGAAAATTCCCTATTATAAATACCTAAGGATACCCTACATTTTAGAGGACTTTAGGGAGTGACTTAAGCAAGGGATGTGACAGCTCACAAACTTCCATTTTCTTCTTTTTTTCCCTCTTTTTTCGTGGTGTCTTCCATAGCCGAGCTTCGAAGGGTAGCAGCTAAACCTTGAGAGATGCTAGCTCGCTAAGGCGGTTCACGACGGTGGCTCTAAGGGTCACGACAACAACTCATTTAGGAGTTTCTCTTCTCCTTGTGCTTTCATTTCTTTATTTTATATGGATTTGTTCTTAACATTGATGATGAATGAACTTAGTCCCGTCATGAACTAATTTATTTGATGTTAGATTTACTTTGAATGATTTTTTATTTTGTGTTAATGAATGGTTGGAGTATTTTTTATGTTTAAATGTTGTTTTTCTCTTTGTTTATATTTTAAATGCTTAGTCTTGTAAGATATTTCGAGAGATAACCATTTTCTAAGTATAAATGCCTAATATCGAGAGAGTTAGCCATTTTCACGGGCTCATGCATGCATCAAGGTAGCTGTGCTGCACGGATGACAGTGGTAGTGCAGGTTTGCTGAAGGCATGTGAATTGCGTTGAAGAAGCATGGTAATACCCGAGTCTTCACCGTTTATTATAGCAAATGACCTATCCTGGGAAATAATTCCTAGGGTGCATTATCTGGGGAATTAAAAAACTGGGAAGCATTATCCAAGAATTTTTGCGAATAAAAATGGTTTACATTTTTTAATAAAATAATATCACTCTCAAGTTTCAAGACATAAAATATAAAATTGAATATTTAAACCCGAAATAGTGATAATTAGTGATGATAATATAGCTTTAGCATGATGAGCACTCTACATGAGTGGAACCACATTAGACTTCACCTGTAATCATTTACACTGAACAATTGCCCCCTTTGTTTGTGACTATATATTTTGTTTATGTTTAAGGTCTATTGGGCTGATTTATTTAGTAATGGTCTTTAATCTTAATGGGCAATATTCATGGGCTGATATAACCACTATATATATTTTATTTTTTTTATAAAATTTAAATAATAATTTGGTTTTTTTTTTCAACAAAAATAAAAGAGATAATTTATTTCAAAACTACAATTTTAAAAATAAAATATGATTTAACATTTGTAAATATGAAATGACTCTATTTTAATTTCGAATTATATATATATATATATATTTACTTTAATGCTTAAATTATTATTATTACTAAAGTTCGTTATACGTTTAAGGTATCACAAATTCAATTTTCTGTTAATATTGTTACAAAATTAGATTAAATGTGATAGAATAATAATGGGTAAACTACATATCTAGCACCTAAACTATCAGTTTTGTTTTAGTTCCTAAACTTTCATTGTTTTAAAATCATACTTAACATTTACTTTTTGTTTTTTTTTTGATCCCTCGCCGTTAAAAACTTAACCAAACTATCGTACATGACACCTTTTTATGGGTGAATTGCATCATTCATCACTAAAATATATTTTCACTCCTATATTTATCATTAAATTTTATTTTTTTAAATTTAATTACTTAACTTTTAAATTAATCATAATTAAATTAATCTAACTTTTAAATTTATTTTTCTAATTTAAATTATATATGAATAAAAATTTCATATCACAAAAATTATTAATAAAATAAATTAGAGTGATTAAAAAAAGAGCAATTTGAAAGTTAAATAGTTAAATTGAATTTTTTTAAATTTTACTGACCAAATAAGAGAAGAAGATATTGAGTAATGAATAATGTAATTTACCAGTTTTAATGAATGGTATTAAATGAAAAAATTAAACATGTATAGTTTTGAAATAAATAAAGTTTAGGTATCAAAAAGAACAAGTTTAGAAACTACATATGTAGTTTACCCAATACTAATTGAGGTATTATTTTTTGTTGTTGATAAATTGAGGTATTAGAACGAGAGAGAAATTGAATTTGATAAACTGATAAAAAAATAGAATTAATTAATGAAAATGTGTAAATGTTAAAAATTTAATTTAAAATTATTCAAAAAAATAAATTAATTTCATTTTGCACATAAATTTGAAAAATCTCCCATCGTTTTCACTTTTACGCTTCAGCTTCGCTCTTCAGCAAGTCAAGTGCAGTGGCCGACCAAGAGAGAGCTTAGTTTCCTGGATTTTTTGAAATTCCATTTTCCCGCATTTCCCAGGCTACCAAACAGGGGGTTAAAGTTAAACAATTCTTTCTCTTCTCTAAGTCTTAATTAATTTTTCATAACATCATCATCGCCTTTTGTTTTCTCAGACTACTCGTTAATTTCTGCTTGCTTGCATAGAAAACTCAACGAAGAGGAAGGGATTCTTATCTTTTCCGCTTTACGACGCTTAATTTTGTTTCCGCCTTTTACCGATTCGGTTCTTGTATATATCGATTTTGAACACGAAAGCAAGGGTTTCTTTAGGCACTTGAGTTCGGATTCCACAATCACAGATTTTTTAGTTAATCCAATTGTTTTGCAGATGGAGTCTTTATATGCAAAACTGTACGATAAATATGACAAACTCAAGGTATCGCAACTCCTCTTTCCCCCTAAAATTTTATTTTTGATGATAATTTTAGATTTCCACTTCCCCACACTTCCTTTGTAGATCTATCATGCAATTTATTTCTTTATAAGTTTGGTTGCCAACAAAACTGATGAAAAGAGCAAAATGTTTAGTTTCTTTTTCCCGTCAAAGTGGAATAAAATTCATCTGCAAGGTGTATCCGATTTCTTGTTAGTTTGATTAAAATGGAATTTTCGTTTTTCCCCCTTTTTCATCCGTTGAGAAGCAAATGTAGCTTTATGTCTACTCCCTTATTATGATTTTTATTTCCATTCCTTTTTCAGAAGAGAAAACTGTCTGAAATGGATGACATACATAGAGATCAAGAAGAGAAATTCTTGAATTATGTGCGTGGTCAGTATATCATCACTCTAGAATTACTGATTTTTTATCTGTCTTCATATTTTATGTGAATCTCAAAATCATCTCTTTGTTTTTGTTTTCTCTTTTGTTTTTATTTTGCATATATCATAGAAATATAACAAAATATAACTATCACTTGATTTTGCATAAAAGACACGTTATTATTTTGGACCTTCCTTATGAAATGTAAGGTAAAATAATGTGTTTTATAATTCAAAATCATTTTATCTTGAGGTTGAATGCTTAATGGTTGGGCTGATCTCATGACTGATAGTTTGTCATTATGAAAAGCTTTAAAATGGAAGCAGGATGCTTTTGCGTTTTGTGGAATATGGTTGTGGCTATAGCATTTTGAAATTTGTTTTGATGGTAATGGTAGAAACTAGATGCTATAGATTTCTACGTAACCTTGCTCTGATACTTGAACCAATATTTAAGGCCTAAGCTCTAGATGTGAAGAATATGTGACATTCTAGTAGTTGTGTGTTAACGCAATAAATTTATTGTTATAACCATGAATGTGAGGCTGTAGAACGAACCAAACTTTGTTAATGGCTTGCATTTGATTCTATAAATTCTTGTTGAACTTCTACTAGTTAAGTGAACCAAACATTAACGTTCTATCTTGCACTTGACAATTTTTCTAGTTGCTATATTTGCTAGTTAAACAAACTTGAACAATCATTTAGGACCCCTCTAAAATGCTTAGTTGTTTGCTTTCTCTTGTTACAGCTGCAGAGGAGTTGATACAGCACTTGAAGAGTGAAAATGACAAATTAAATGCTGAAGTTAATGAGTTGAGAAGTGAAGTGGCCTCTGTAATGTAAGTATTTTTAATTCAATTTGGCCTTTACACGTTGCCAGAGTCTACTTTCTTGAACTTTTGCACAAATGTAATAATGCAGGTCCAGCAAGGACAAGCAATGTGCAGACTACCAAAAGCTTTTGATTGAAGAGAGCCAGAAGTGTAAGTAGTAATCAGTTGTTGATTGCATCTCTTTCTTTCAATGTAGAATATATATGTAACAGCTCCTTAACTTTCTTGGCCTTCTTCTCGCTTTGTCTTTGTTGAATATGCTATTGCAAGGAAACTAGACACAAACTGATGCTGGTGTTAGGTCTGCTGGCTAAGAACAAGAAAATGACAATATTTGGTATCAGTTTACATGACTAAAGAACTCAGCATTATGCTTTTGGTTAAAGAACTGGATTTCTATGCTCAAGTTTTTGTCTGAGTAAAAAATGAATTTAGGTTTTACATGTCATTGCCTTTGAAGTTGGTAGTTAGTTCTTGTATTGTTGAGGCTTGCACCTGTCCAAAATGCATGGAACAAAAACTGTATGCTTAATTCTTAGATGGACTGGAAGAAGGTAACTGCGCATGTTGATTTGTTCAGTATTGCTATATATTTCTTAACTCAGCATGGTTAATAATAGATCTCTCGCTTTTTCCTTCCCTCTTGCTATAACTTTAAAAGGTTAAATCATAATTTTGACATTTATGATGGTTATCATGGTGGTGATCAGATTGCATATTCACAATTTTCTACTCTCCACATCTTCCATTTTGACATTTATACAAAGTCAATTATTGTTTGAACACCTCAATCACTAACTAGACATATATGAAGTCGAAAGTGGATTATCTTAATTTGGACGTGGTGTCTTTGAAAACATAATAAGATAAATGTGTAGACTTGCCTTTGTTGGATGTTTTAACTTTCTAGTGTCAAGCATGTGTATAGCCCTTTTTTAACGGAATGCTAAAATTTATGACAGATAAAGCACTTTCTGAAGAAGTTACGAGGCTGCAAAATCATCAAGAGGGACATTTTAAGGGTGACAATAGAGATAATATACCAACTGTCTCTCCTAGAAGTGAACAAGTTGTGGCGGAAAGGGTTTCTGCTAACAACACTAGAATGATGACAAGAAAGCGTAGCAGGAAATCAGCTGCTGAGACCAAAGATAGCATCGTTACTCCTGATTCAGCTAATGGTAAAGTTACCACATCATGTGCTTTGACAGAAGACCTTCCTGAGAAAGCTTTGTCCTATGAGGCTCTTTCACATGTTCGGCTGGTATATTCTCAATTAATCATCTGTTTACTCAACAGATGTGAGTTTCTACATCTTTACTAACTATTTGGATGATTATGCAGCCAGAATGCTGTAAAGGCAGTATAAGTGAAAATGCCACTGATCGTGGAACTTGTCTGCTTCAAGCTCTTATCGAGTGCTTAGTGGGTATGAAAATATCCACCGTTAACCAAACTGAAGGACTATGCATTTCAGCTCTGCATCAATCAAGCGGTAATTCTTAACTTGAGAATCATAGTAATCTCATTAAATTCAGTATTTCCATCTTTCATTTCTAGTTCCAGGTATTTCCCCCTTAAAGTTGGTATGTTGTTGATTTGTTAAGTGGTAACATCTGTAATGTGATTTAAGATCAGAAAATTTTGAAGATTATTTCTGCGAACCGCATTGATATAAAGCAATTGCAGAAATAAAGTCTGTTTCACTTAAAATGGTTGGATTTATAGAATATGAGGTCCAAACCTTCAACCCTTTTATCTGAAGTTTTTTTTTAATGTTTTCTGTGAAGTATCAATTTTTGACATTTGAGTTCGACATCTATTTGGACATGGATAGGGACTATAGTCGTATAAAAAGCATGAGAAAGAAATTAAGCATACATGAACTAATATAGATTTTAATAAATACATCCACAAGTACTTGGTGTTTCTGATAGTCACACCTATTGAAGAACTAGCTGTTGCGTACAAGAAATGACTTTCATTATTTGACGCTGGATAAATGAAACAGGTTACTCATTCAGCCTAACATGGATAAACAAAAGAGGCGGGGAGGAAGCTGAGTTGGTGTACCGGGTATCGTCGTTAGGGACATTTGAGAGGGTGGCGCCAGAGTGGATGAGGGATGTCATTATGTTCAGCACAAATATGTGCCCCATTTTCTTCGAGAGATTAACTCGTGTAATCAAATTGCATTGCTAGCTGGCAAGCTTTTCTCTCCTTGGTCTTTGAACCAGACGTGAAGAACATATGTATAACATTGGTGATAACAAACAGTTATCGTATTATTACCGACTAAACCTATTGACAAGTTTTTGCATGTCAGTAACTAAATTGATTATTCTAGGCATTTACCATTCAAAATTGCAGGATTGCTGATTACTAATTATTGTTTCTTAATTACTAAATTGATTATTTCCTTGTTTGGAACTTGAATTTTTGGTCAGATTTTAACTAAAAATTAAAATGATGTCGTTTTGGTCATTAACTAAGTAATGCGATTGATTTTTGTTTTTCTTGTTTCTGTGTATCTATTGTTTTTTTGTTATTTTTACTAAATTAGAGTCACATCCTCACCACTTTAGAATCTCTTTTTTACAAGTTAATTTTTGAACTTTGTGTTTTGTTCACTTCAGGCATCTGACTGTAACTTCTTTCAAATTATTTTTAGGGTTTAGGGTAAAGGTTGTTCTCCGTCTTTTATGATCTAATTATTAATTTATTATACAAATCAAGCAACCTCGGTGGTTCGAGCACAAGAAATGTCAGGTTGTGAACGTTTAATGTTAAATGGTTGAGAGTTATCTTTAAACAAATAGTGTTGTGTACTTATCACATATTAATCAAAATAAAAATAATTATTAATTTTTTTATTTGGGCTCCATTTAGGCCTAAGTGCAATGAGACCGATATAATAATATTTATACATTTAACTTAACATAATAATTACGGTTAAATACATTTGACCTTATAATCTAATGATTTTAATATTAATTAGATATATCAATATATAGTTTCAAATTATCAATGGAATGAACACTTGATCGAACAACTCATGTCATTGACGAAGAAGGCTTGATGCTAAAAGAAGCCAGTTTGCAGCAGCGTATAAGTTGCATAGAAATAATATAACACGGAATCATGTGTGGGTTTAAATCCGTATGATCACATACCTCATTACTCTTTTTCATTTAGACATGCAGAGATAGCTAAATAAGCAACTGTACATTGCATTCCAAAGTTAAAAAACCTTTAACCATTTCATTCCAGGGACTGAAACTACTAGTTTTTTTTACCATACTTTACTTCCTACACCTCCAAGCCGATACCGAAAACAGCCGTCGACCTTGCCAGCAAATTCCGACCCAACCGTTCTCCTCCTTTATTTTATACCCATCACAGTTATACCCCTGCAGCAATCTCCTCGCGTGCAACATGCCATAGTAACTCAGAGGGACGTTTCCTAAACCGGCCAAATCAAGCCTTTGTATCCACTTTTCGAGCTTTTCATGTCTCTCCTTCCTCTCGGCTCCCTCGCAAGCTATTATGTTCTTTATTTCCTCTCCGAATAGCATCTTTTTCACCTTGAGTCTCTCCGGAGATGTTCTCGAGACCGTGGACTCCGAACAATCGAACAATGCTGCATAAGAGTAAAGAGATTCTAATAGTATCTCCATTAGAGTCGATCCATTATGATTAGAATCTTGTTCTGTTACCACCATCAGTTTCGGTGACAAACCCCACAATGCATTTTGGAAGCTATCTACCTTCACCGAACCGGTCGAAGATAGCGGTGCCGGTGATGATGAAGCCGAATCGGGACTAGGACTATATCCATTAATTGTGTCTTTTTCAAGCAACTCTCATAATGTGCCCTGGTTCATCTGGAGTGTTCTTTGCAAGTGAACTCCATTCGAATTCTTCGATCCTAATGGTGATTTCTTTCGATGGAGTTCATCATCGGAGGCCAAAAACAAATGCAGCTGGAGAACAGAGCCTCCCCGGTTTTAACTCGCAATTTTTCGACGTCGAGATTCTCTAATTTGCTAACAACCGGATTGAACTGGAACGGGAGGTCCAATTTCTCAGCTTCTTCAGTCAATCTATGAGCCATTTGATCCAACACTTGTTTCTGTTGATGAATGCCAGTAATCCTCAAATGAGGCGGCCCTTCAGGCCTAGCACTCAAGGCTTGAATAAGCGCAAGCGCAACCCACGGCGCAGGCTCGACCGCATTAAGATAGATTATATGAACCATCTTTTCGCCTTCCATCGCCTCGTTCACGGCTTGGTTTGTACGCACAAAGGCCACCTTCAAGAAGGGGAACAACTGAAAGAACAGCTTCCGGACAATGATTTCTTCGGAAACCAAAGCTATCCTCGTGGAATTGAGGGCCATATGAAGACCAGGCCAGGCTTTGAGGATTCGATCAGCAAGTGCCTGCATAAAATATGCGGCCATTCGCTGCATAAAATCACCGTCCGGCGATGCGAGTCGGGATATTTGCTTGAGTGCAATGTTGGCATTTTCAAGGCTACCATTTGCAACATGATTAGCACACGTGAGCAACAAATGGATCAAATATAAACCCCTTTCTTCACATTTCAATATTCTAAGCTCAGACATTTCAATGTCTACTGGTGGCGGTAGTAGAGAGAGAATTTGCTCTCCCTTCTCTCTAGGTTTCTTCTTCGAGTTGGGTCTTTGGTTGGTCTCAAAGGTTTCTTCCATGGTTTCTCATGGTCCCCCGGTTGTCGAGCTCCATTTTTGGAGCTCAAAACGGTTAAGGTTTCTTAAAATCCGGTTGTTTAGCTGTCAAAATCTTAGTTCATTAGGATTTGATTGCTATTCTAAATTCTTGAGTCATTCTCGGTGTTCGTCTTCAGCAAAAGATGTTGAAGGTAAAAGCTTTTTTTGTTATCATTGTAGTTTATCAATCATGTTTTATGTCTTGCAGGATCTTCTTAAGGGAAGTTGCCGATGGAATGATGAAGAGAGAGGGATGATAGCTTTAGAGAACTTTCAAGATTGGATGGATGGAAAGGTGGTTCTCGAGGAAGGAGATGAAGTGAGGTATAGGGATTGGGAATGGTCTGGAAGTATGAAAGTTATGGGAAAACTAGCTACAGATAAAGTTTTAGGGAGGAGTTCGGTGCCGGAAATTTCAGTCAGTTCAGATAAAGAGTTTGAAGAAGATGACTGGAGTCAGGCTCCCAAAAATAGTTGGGGTGTTGTTGGAGTGACTAGAGGATGCCACATGATTTCTACAGTTACTGTTCGGAATTACAATTAGGTTTCGGGGTGGTTCGGTTATGTTCAACAAGAAGTTAAGGGAGAAAGTGTGGTTTGGTTTGTGATTGAACTAAGTCACTATAGAAGAAATATTCAATCAAGGAAAATCTAGAAATGGGTGATTAAAGTGTCAAGTCAGAACTCCATCAAGTCTATGAGATTAGATTGGGAATGGGGATTTCATTGGAAATTCTCATTATAGAAATTTCTAAGAAGATCTTTGTATGACATGAGGTCTAGGCGTGGGGGAAGGATACTCTATCACTTACCTCAATAGAAGTAGAATGTTCAGCGGGGAGTCGTCTGTCAACACGGGATGGGACTGGGATATTTAATGTTCTGCTTGGTGCGGATAGCGGGTGTAATTGGCAGGGGGCTAGTTCACGTGTTATACTGCTCGATGCAGATAGCAGGTGGGACTGGCAGGGAGCACGCATGGGATGGAAGGCCAGAGACAGACCTGGTAGAGGAAGTGGAAAATTGCGGCTGCTACAGTGCAGCCAGCTACTACGAACACTGTTCGGACAGACATAGTTGCTGTAAATTATATGAGATAATGGTTGTTTTTGGGGAAATGGTGCATTTATATTTATTTAATAGTAGTATCATTTTGGAGAGATTTTTTAATAGCCTATGTGGAGTAGGCAAAGGGTGTAAGAGGAGAAGGTCACATCGGAGTGGCTATTGTCAAGAGGGTAAGGCTATCATTCGGGTATGGGATAAGAGACTAAGGGGAGAGAATAGGAAGAGATATCCTATTGATAAGATAGTACCTAGGGTGGGCAAGTGTTGTAAGTGGGTGAAATCACATCGAGTTTCACATAGTAGTGTAGGTGGGGTTGCTTGTTGTGATAGGGGAAAAAGATTAAGTGAAGGAAGGAAGTGTTGGTTTTCACACATTGTCAAAAGAAACCATTCAAACTTTGTCTTTATATTTCGAAGTGGTACTTCTATTGCGTTGGCTATCAAAAAAGAGTGGAAGAGTGTTCTGTTGCTCTCGTCTTCAATTACTCATTTGTCTAGCATAATGTCGGAGGAGGTAGCGGATTTGATGAAGCACTTGAAATTCACTGAGGAGGAGTCGGAGGACATTTCTCCACCACGAGTCATTACTGAAGATGATGTGACGGAAATGAATAAGTGGATCATAGCGAGGATAATTGGCTACCAGAGAATTGATAGCGAGGTGGTATTGCGAGTCTTTCGATTGATTTGGGGCCATGCTAGACTCTTGGACTCATGCATTTTGAAGGATAATATGTTCCTCTTTAAGTTCAAGACGCTATCAGATAAGCAGGCCATTTTGAAACGCACCCCTTGGAGTTTTGAAGAAACTCTTTTGGCCATTGCCCACTTTGATCCTAATTTGAGTTTGGAAGAATTTGATTTCCGGCCCCTTGGAGTGTGGGTGAGAATTTTTGAGCTCCCTTTGGGGTACATGAAAGTTGAGATAGCGGAGAAGATTGAAAATAGAATTGGGAACATTATTGCTACTGATACAAGATCTGGAGAGGGAAGAATGGGCGATTACCTTCATGTTAGGGTGGAGATTGACTGTTCTAAACCGTTACGAAGATGTGCTAAGATGGGAGTGCTCGCAAATGGAGAACCGAGGAAGTGTCTGCTAAAGTACGAACGACTGCCTTCATTTTACCATAGGTGCGGCATTATTGGACATGTACTTACGGAATGTCCGGGATTCTCGGAGCAACTGCAGCAGCCTCTACAATTTGGGGAATGGCTTAGAGTGTCTCCTATCAAGAATCCTGTTGAAAGTAGCACCATAAGAAGAGAAGGGATTATCTATGCTGAAGGGGAGACTATTGGAAAGTCATTGACTAGCTCGACGAATAGTCCTCTCTCGGATCGGGGTACTAGGTCTCCCCTAGGAAGACCGTGGATGCCAGGATATGACTTGTTGCACTCGACCAGCTCCAACCGTGAGGATGATTCGAACCCGACCGACCCAACTGGTCCAGATAGCTCCCTCCCGTGAACATTCCTGGAGGTT